CGTTTGTGTAGGGACAAAACAGCTCTGCGGCGACATTGAAACCGTCGTGGCAGGACAACAGGAGCGCATATGCGAGATGTGTCTTTTGGACGTGGATGAGTACAAGCACACGGACACCCCCGAGCCGAGGGGGGAGATTCTTCTGCGGGGCCCGTTCCTCTTCAAGGGCTACTACATGCAGGAAAAACTCACGCGAGAGGCTCTTGACGAGGATGGCTGGTTTCACACGGGTGATGTTGGCAGCATCACAACACATGGACGCTTGCGTATTATTGGCCGTGTGAAGGCATTGGCGAAGAATGTGCTGGGAGAGTACATTGCATTGGAGGCACTGGAGTCCATGTATGCACACAACGCACTCTGCATGCCTAATGGTGTGTGTGTGCTTGTCCATCCTGCCCGTTCGTACATTTGCGCGCTGGTGCTGACAGATGAGACAAAGGCTATGATGTTTGCGAAGGAGCACGGCATTGAGGGCAGCTATCCGGATATCTTGCGTGACCCGGCGTTCCAGCGCAAGGCCACGGAGTCCATGCAGGCAACGGCACGAAAGGCAGACCGGCAGAAATTTGAGTGTGTGCGGCATGTGCGTGTCGTTGGTGATGAGTGGACGCCTGAGAATGAGATACTCACGGCGGCTGGCAAACTGAAGCGCCGCGAAATTGACAAGCGGTACGCCGACGTCATTCAGCTACTGTTTGTGGAGGAGTGTTAGGGAGGGGAAGAAAAGAATAAAAATAAAAACAACAACAACAACAAAAACAAAACAAAAAGCCAAACAAACAAACAAACAAAAACAGAAATAATGAAAAAAACTGTCTGATGATAATAAATATTCTATATGTATGACCGTTGTGTGGCGCCCAGTTGTAATTTTTGTTTGGTGGTATGTACAATGTACCGCCATAATGTGCCTGAGAGTGGAGCTGGATAGGCGCTTATCGAGTACGGTTGTTGTTTTTGTTGCATGTGGTGGGCCAGTCGTTCCACTTCGTGCCTGTTCCGCTGCACTTTTTAACGCCTTCCTTCCGTATTTTGCCACTTGCGTCTTTCTATGACTAATTTTGATTTGTTTCTGGGCTTTACGTATGTTGATTTGCCTCTCTTCCCTTGATGCTTGTGCGTCGTCGCCCTGACGGCGGAATTTCCTTCCCGTGGCCGGTGTGAAGGCTGCTGGGTTGAGGGCTCCAGGCGTTGGGCATTTCCCGCACAGCAGACGTCATTTTTTTTTTTTCCGCTCTCTTTTTTTTTTGTATTTTGCGTTTTATTTTGATTTCTTTTTTGTTTATTTTTATTTTTCGCACACGTCGCGAATTTTCATGAGGACGGAAGCGAGGGAAATGGAAGCACGGCGGGCGTATTTTTATTTGTTTGCTTCTTCTTCCATTGCCATCATCGTGTTTGCATCTGTCTTTCCCTCCTTTTTTCTTTTTCCAACGGATGCTGTTTTTCCTCTTGTGGCTGTGGACGAGAGGACGGAGATAGATAACGGTGCTGTGAAACTGGTGCCGGAGAGTATGTTTTGGGCACTCGCCCCAACTCCCTCTCCCCACTCATGTTTGTGTCTGGGCGATGGCTCTTTGGCGCTTGCGAGAGGGATGAGATGAATACAACTCGTATTTTGTAGGAGCGTCACAAGCACCCCTTAAAATGCTGTATTCTTTTTTTTTTCCCCTTTTGTTGATGGCGGTGAATGGTTGGCATCGTCTTTTTTTTTTTTTTTAGTTATCTTTTTTTTTTCCACCCTCCCCCTTATCGTACTTTTGGCCTCACTCCGTGACGGATGCATGTGTGCCTGTTGGACTTGGGCGCTGAAAGGCCGTTATTTTATTTTATTTTTCTTTTTTTTTTTGTTGTTGTTAGTCACTTCTCTTAGGGGGGTTGGGAGGGGAAGGGAATAAATAACAACGGTTGCGGCAAGTCTGTACTTGGGTGCGGGGGCTAGATACACATCTTGACGTTGGCGCACACATACGTATTTTTACTTGGGGAAGGAAGGTCAAGGGGTTAGGGAGATTTTACAGGGACTCAGAAGAAGTTTTTTTGTGAAGTTGGTTGCGTCCACAAGACAACAACATCACCGCACACAACACATCTCCCAGAAGGGATAACACCACTTCTACTACCACCAGTAGTAGTAGTAGTAAAAGAAGCAGCAGCGACACGAGGCTCCAAAGAAGGGGGGTGGGTGGATAAATTAAGCCGGAAAAGGAGGAAAGAAAGGCCCAATATAGGCAAGCAAGAGTTAAGAGAAATGGGTGGCTGCGTTGTCTCGTTGCTGGACGCGAGGAATCGGTACTCCATTGTCACCCACAATGACGTGATGGAGTACCGTCGTCTTGGCGTGCTGAACGTCCCTGTCCCGGACACGGAGAAACCCGACGCGTCAGCTATCTATCGCATTGCTGGCTACGACGATGCGCAACAGAAACAACTCTCAAAAGAGTTGTACAACGGGCCAAACCTCACGCAGCGTTTTGAGACAATTTGTCTTCGCGACCCAAAGCGACATGCGCTTGCATACCGCCCAATTGATCGCGTGGAGCAGGAAACGATGAAAGACGTTGTTACTGGCAGCGAAAAGGTAATGGATGTCACTTATCTCAATGAAACTAAGTACATGACCTTTGAGGCTCTATGGGAGTGCATGCTTTCCTTTGGGCGTGGCCTGGTGGAGCTCGGTATTCGGCCGAACGCCAATGTCGCCATTTACGAAGAGACACGTTGGGAGTGGCTAGCGACTATCTACGGCATTTGGTCACAGAGCATGGTGACTTGCACCGTGTATGCAACATTGGGCGAGGCCGCGTTGGCGTATGCACTTCGGGAGACGGAGTGCAGTGCGATTGTGTGTAACGCGAAGAACGTTGCACGCCTTGTTGAATTAATTACTCACGGCAATATCCCTCGAGCTTCAATTATTTACAACGACACCCTGCCAGCATCTTTTGATGCAAAAGGCTGCCGCGTGATTCCATGGTCTGAGGTTGTGGAGATGGGCCGCCGAGTTGCCGAGCAAGTTCCCTTGCGAATACCGACTGACAACGACTTGACAGCGCTGATTATGTACACAAGTGGTACCACGGGAGATCCAAAGGGCGTGGTGCACACACACGGCTCTCTTGTCGCTGGGGTGAGCGGGTTGAATTACCGTGTGTTGGATAATATTGGCCCTTACGAAGAAGGTGAAACGTATTGCGTGTATCTTCCACTTGCCCACATCATGGAGTTTAGTGTCATGAATATCTTTGTCGCACGCGGGGCGTTGATCTGCTTTGGTACCCCGCGAACATTGACGAGGGCTACTGCCCGTCCCACCGGTGACCTTGAGGAATTTAATCCGGTTTTTATCATTGGCGTGCCACGTGTCTACGAATCAATTAAAAAAGCAGTTCAGATGAAGTTGCCCCGTGCTGGATCAATGAAACGCCGTGTATTTGACCACGCGTATGAGACTCGTTTACGGGCCCTCAAAGACGGCAAGGACACGCCTTACTGGAACCAAAAGGTGTTTGACAAGCCGCGGGAGGTTTTGGGCCGGAATTTGCGCATTATGCTCTCCGGCGGCGGCCCGCTCAGCGATGCCACACAAGACTTTGTGAATGTTGTTTTTGGGCTAATAGTTCAGGGTTGGGGTCTCACAGAGACGGTGTGTTGCGGTGGAATTCAGCGCACTGGCGACATGGATGTGGGGTCGGTGGGACAGACGGAGCCAACAGTGGAGTTCAGGCTACTGGATGTGGATGAGTACAAGCACACGGACACTCCCGAGCCGCGGGGGGAGATTCTTCTGCGGGGCCCGTTCCTCTTCAAGGGCTACTACAAGCAGGAAAAACTCACGCGGGAGGCTCTTGACGAGGATGGCTGGTTTCACACGGGTGATGTTGGCAGCATTGCGGCGAACGGTTCCCTGCGTATTATTGGCCGTGTGAAGGCATTGGCGAAGAATGTGCTGGGAGAGTACATTGCATTGGAGGCACTGGAGTCCATGTATGTAGACAACGCACTCTGCATGCCTAATGGTGTGTGTGTGCTTGTCCATCCTGCTCGTTCGTACATTTGCGCGCTGGTGCTGGCAGATGAGACAAAGGCTATGATGTTTGCAAAGGAGCACGGCATTGAGGGCAGCTATCCGGATATCTTGCGTGACCCGGCGTTCCAGCGCAAGGCCACGGAGTCCATGCAGGCAACGGCACGAAGGGCAGATCGGAAGCCTATGGAATGTGTGCGGCATGTGCGTTTTCTCAACGATGAGTGGACGCCTGAGAATGAGATACTCACGGCGGCTGGCAAACTGAAGCGCCGCGAAATTGACAAGCGGTACGCCGACGTAATCGAAGAGCTTTTTGCGGATCCGTAAATGTTTCGAGCATAAAAAAAATAAAAATATATTCTTATTTTACGTATCTGTTTATGAATATGAAAGTCAGTGCTTGTTTTTTTTTGTTTTTTTTTTTCATGTGAGCTTGTGGTTTTTTTTTTTTGTTTTTTGAGGATGTAGATTGTTGGTTTCCTTTTTTTTTTTTTGTTGTTGTTATTCCTGTGGAGGACAATGTACACCACGAAGTCATGGTGCCGTGCCGGGCGCAGGGAACGTGGCGATTGTGCGAACGGGGTGTTATGGCGTCCAACTGAGGGTGACGAAGGTGGCACGGGGTTTCTTCTCCGTTACCGCCGTGTGTGTGTGTGTGTGTGTGGTGCGTTGAAAGCGAAATAAAGTGAACTGGAGGAAGGATTGACTTTTTTTTTTTTTTTTTCCCTGTCTGATTAGGTTTCACCATGTATTTGCGGGGTGTACGTGGGTGTGCGGCACGCCATCTCGACGGGGGGAGCGGAGGGGGTGATGAATTGAAGGACAAGTGCCTTTTTTTTCCTTTTTTTTTTTCCACCGCCATTAATTTTATTATATTTTTGATTTGCCCGAAGTGTTGTGTCGTGTTGCTCCTCCCCCTTTTCCCCTCTTCCTTTTTTTTTTTTTTTGTCTGTGTGTGTGTGTGTTGTAGTCTTTGGGGTGCTGTCGCTTCTTCCGATTGGGCGGTGCGGTACATCTGTTCTCCCCCTTCCTCCCCGGCCGGAAGGAGGACGAAGGGGTCATCAGCACGGAAAAACACGACGAGGGCAAAAACAACAACAAGAAGAAGAGGAGATCCGGAGGAGGAAAGAAGGGTGGCCGCTTTTGAGAACTAAAAAAGAAAAACAAACAAAAAAACAAAGGAGGGGGTCTGCGTTATTCCTGTGCGGCCTTTTTTTTTTCTCTTTTTCTTTTTTTTCTTGCTACTACTGCGGTTGCATTTGTCCAACTGTTGGCAGTCGATGTGCACGCTTCTGGCTGGATACTGAACTGCTGTTGCTTCTTGGCCTCAACGTCCACAACATCTTTCCTTTTTTTTTTTTTCTCTTTCTTATCCCTTGCAGTTGCCCCGCACCAGAGGCCTTTTGGTGTGTGCGTGTGTGTGTGCCTTTTACGATCCAATAATTCCGCACTACCGTTGAGGAACATCAACAGCAAAGGGAGAAGGGAGGGAGATCGTAAAGGCGTTGTGTGCGCGCTCATGTCTGTCGGAGGCTGTTCTGTTGCATTCGTTGTCGTGCCTGTCTTTTTTTAATTTTTATTGCGTTATTGCCGCTTGCCTTATTTACGTGGACGCCATCAGCTGCAGCCGCATGGGATAGGGCAAAGCGACGAGACCAGAGAACAGAGGGTTTCGTTCGTGGGTAGCCAATTATGCGAGGAAGGACGTCCGATGCGTACTTAACATCTTCGACGCTTATTTGCAATTGCATGTGTTTCTGCAAGCGACTTGGTGTTGCCCGGTGCCTACTGATGCGTGTGTGTATTTGTGTGCGGCCTCCCAATTCCCCCCACGTTGGTGGTTCACTTCTTCGTTGATAACACAAACTCCCTTCATTTTTCCTCATTCATTGCGGGGGAATTAAGGACTGAAGTGCCGCAGTGCTGTTGCCTTCTTTTTTGGGCGGTGATTTCCATCCCTTTTTGTGGGTGTATACGTCGGCGGTCTCTTCGGTTCCATCCTCTTTAGTGCACCTGCTATTGTTGTTATTATCGTTATTTTGTTGCCGATTTATTTGGCCCTTTTCATTTATTTATTTTTTTTTTGTTTTTCTTGTGCGGCGAGTTGGGAGGGCCACCACCACCACCACCACCACCACCGTCCATGCATGCGTGACGGACTGCTGCTGCCGTCTGCGAGAGGTGAAGCTGCGGGGTTCTGCAATGCACGGTCGTTCCAACGTGTTTTCTTATTCTCTTCCTGGTGTTCTTGTCGCCGTCTATGTATATATATGTTTGGCTGGGCAGTGCAGCCTGTGGACTGGGGGCTCTGGCACCTGCACCAACTCAAAGGGAGGGAAAAAGTGTAGATATTCAAAAGGACAAGCATAAACAAAAAAATACATACACAAACCTCGTAAGGGAAGCAATAAAACAAACAAACAAAAAAAACAACAACAACAAAAAACAAAACGGTATTTCGTGCAATGGCGCCTCGTAGCGAAAACGGCGCCGCAAAGCCGGCGTGCGAATCGGCAAGTCGGCTGGATTTTTATCTTCCACCGCCTGATGACCGCGCGTACCGTCGCGGGAGGATTCAACGCCTGCGTGACCAAATCACAGCATGGCGACGGCAACCGCGACGAGGTGGCGCACAGGCGTACACCAGGGCAGCGAGTGCAGGGACAGAGCAGAGGGGACTTGTAGTGGACATACCGCTGTGGAAAGCATCGACCGTTTCACCCACACGGCGGAATGTTTCAAGGCATGAGAAGGTGTTCATGTTATCGCAGGTGTCGCGTAGTCCGCCGAATGCGAAACACATCTTTTCTTCTGCGACGCAAGGGGGAGAGCTTCGAGAGAAGACACCATTACGCTCGTCAAATTACACCAATACGAAGAACAGTTTTAACCACAAGGCACAAACTACTGGCCGAGTGATGGAGGTCCCGTACTTTCACGATCAAACCATCTTTTGTCTACCAAGAGACGGACGTGTCCCCATGACTGCTGCTACTGTTGATGCAGCTGCCGCCCTTTCTGATGCCATGGACGACGGCGAGGGCCAGCAGACGGATTCAAATGCGGGTTTCTGCTACGGTGTCACCTCAAACAGTGAGGAGATGACACGCCATAGCGAGCATTTAAGACATGAAAGAAAGGCAGACCGTGATGGGAAACCCCTTCCCGAAAAGACTACATTCGGCAGCGACCGCTTCGAAGGGGCTCCCTCTGTATTCTTATCTCTGCAGTCAAAAGGTGGGAGGGCGGCGTCGGTGCCGAAATCAACAGAAAGTAAGGGTCTTACAATTGACTCGACATTTGCTGCAATGACGCGAAGCGTAGAGTTGGCGACGGCGGTGCATGCGGAGTGCACGCATCGCCGAACGGCGATGCAGCGTTCACGGAGCGACAGCTTTCGTCAACGTGTTCTTGAGCAGACGATGGAGATACCTGTTGACTGGAGGGAGTTTGAGCGTGTCACACCGTGCGGTAACGCGTCGTGCCTCACCACTTTCCCTGATGAACAATGTAGTGCTGCTAGTATGGGTCGCACCCATTGCACCGCCAATTTTGGTTCTTGTAGCGTTGGTCGAGGGCCAATGCGATTGTACAGCATTCGTCTGAGGAAGCGCTTGTTGAACTCGGAGGGGTCGATGGAGAAGGCGTCAAGCTTCCCTCGTCTTGGTACCCGCGTGATACTTTCCAAGTCGTGGGTGTAATCTCGATAGGGATGAGCATGTATGGTTCACAAAGAGGAGTAACGACGAGGACATACATTGCGAAGAGAAAAAAAAAAAGGGGGGGGGGGGGGGGGGGGGG